GTATCGTAGTGTTCAAAGAGTCAGAAGTTAACTATTAGGCTCTAAATTCCACCTAAGCTGAGGATAAGGCCACCTGATGAGCCCAACATAAAACAAACCGCAGTCGTGGTGTGTCAGTGTTGGCAGGTGTAACACCCAACTATTGCCATTTCGGATACGGTCCTGTCGATCCGAATGAAAAGATTTACTTCAACGTGCATTGAGGTCACAATGGAGGTTGCGTGTCGCAACCCAGCCAAAAAGCGGGTTTCCCAAATTCAACTTTGAATTCCTTATCGCTTTACAAAACGTTGCCCGCGGATCTCAGTAGCGTAGTGTTCAGGGTGCCAGACGACAAATACTAGGCTCTGAGTTCCACCCAATGTCATACTATCGCCACCCGATGAGTCCAAACCTGGAAGAAACCGTAGTTGTGCTGTGCCAGTGTTGAAGGAGCAACACCTAAATGTTTTCGTTTCGGATACCATCCTCGCGATTGGGATGACCGAGGTTTACCTCAGTGAACCGTGTTCTAAATAGAGGTTGCTTGTTGCAACAACCGCACTGCGAATTCCCCCAACCCAACTTTAGATTTCTTTTCGCTGTGCCAAGCGTCGCTCGTGGATCTCAGTAGCGTAGTTTTCAGGGTTCCAGCCGTGAACTATTAGGCTCTGAGCTCCACTAGAACTCAGGCTGTCGCCACCTGATGAGTCCAAACCATGACGAAATCGCGGTCGTGGTGTGCCAGTTTTGGAAGAAGGTACACCCAAACATTTTTATTTGGGCACGGTCCTTGCAATCGGAATGAGAAAAATTTACCTCAAATTGAATCGATATCACAACCAATTTTGCGTGTCCCATAACAACCACAGCGGTTTCCCCAAATTCCACTCTGAATTCATTTCTGTTCGGCCAAGCGTCGCTCGTGGATTTCATTAGCGTATTGCTCAGGGTGTCAGTCGTGAACTACTAGGTTTTGCGTTCCATTCCGGTTAAGGCCATCTCCAGCTGATGAGCCCAAACCAGGACGTAACCGCAGTCGTGGTGTGCCAGCGTTGGAAGAAGGGATACACAAACTTTTCCATTTCGGATACATTCTTCACCAAAGGAATAATGGAAGCTTACCGCAAACTGAAGCGAGGTCTCAATAGATGTTGCGTGTCGTAACCCAAGCACACAGCGGGTTCCACAATTGCATCTTTGAATTCTAATAAGCTGTACCCACCGTTGCTCGCAAATCTCAGTAGCGTAGTGTTCAGGGTGTCAGCCGTGAGCTATTAGGCTCTGAGTTCCACACGGCTCCTGCTATCGCCACGTGATGAGTCCAAATTAGGACGAAACCGCGGTCATGTTGTGCCAGTGTTGGAAGGAGCAGCATCCAAATATCAATGTTGTAGCTACGCTATATTACGATCGGAATGTCCAGGTTTTACCATAAAGTGAACCGAGGTCTCAATTGAGGTTGCGTGTCGCAAACCAAGCACACGGCGCGTTCCATAATTTCAACTTTAAATTCTAATAATCTGAGCCAAGATTTGCTCGCGGATCTCACTAGCCTCGTTTCCAGGACATGGACCGTGAACTACTGGGCTCTATGTTTCACCCCAGTTTAGGCTATCGCCACCAGATGAGTATGAACCAGGGCGAAATCGCGGTCAACTTGTGTTAGTGTGGGAGGAGCAGAACCCAAATATTTCCATTCTGAATACTGCCTTCACGAACAGATTTACCGAGGAGTGTCTCCAACTAAACCGGATTCTCAATAAAGCTTGCGTACCACAACGCAACCATACAGAGGGTACCAAAATTCAAATTTGGATTTCTTTTCTCTGTGCCTAGCGTTGCTCGCGGATCTTAGTAACGTGGTTTACAGGGCGTCGGCGGTGAACTACTAGGCTCTAAGTTTTACCCCAGCTCAGGATATCGTCATTTGATGAGTCCAATCCAGGAGGAAAACACGGTCATCTTACGCCAGTGTAGGAGGAGCAACACCCAAATAGCTCCATTTTAGATGCTGTCATTGCAGTCGGATTTACCGAGGATTACCTCCAAGGGAACCGATGTTAAAATAGAGGTTGCGCTTATTAAACATCTACATGGCGAATTCCTTAAATTCCACTTTGGATTCCCTTCCGGTGTACCAAGCGTTGCTTGCGGATCTCAGTAGCGTAATGTTCAGAAAGTCAGCTGTGAACTAGTAGACTCAGAGTTCCACTCCGCTCCGCTATCGCCATCTGATGAGTCTAAACCATGAGAAAACGGCGGACTTGTTGTGCCAGTGAGAAGAGCAACATCTAAATGTCTCTATTTCAGAAAATTTATATTCCTATCGGAAATATTGAGGTCCACCTCTAAGTGAACCAAGGTCTCAATAGAGGTTGCGTGTCGCAACCCAACTAACTCTAAAGTTTACAATTTCAGCTTTGAATTACTTTCCGCTGTTCTAAGCGCTGCTCGCGTACCTTATTAGGGTATTGTTCAGAACGTCACTCGTGACATACCAGGCTTTGACTTCTACCCCAGCTTAGTCTTTTGCAAAATGATATGTCTAAAAAGAAACGTAACCGCGACCGTGGTGTGTCAGTGTTAGAATGAGGAACACCTAAATTTAGCCATTTTGTGTACGGTCCCCGCGATCTGGATGTCCGAGGTTTACCTCAAAGTGAACCATAGTTTCAAACAAACTTTTGTTTCGCAACCCAACCACGCAGCCGGTTCCCCATAATGAAATTTGCATTCTATTCCGCTGCGCAATGGGTTGCATGCAGATCTTAATAGCCTAGTTGTAGGACGTCAGCCGTGAAATACTAAGCTCTCAGTTCCACCCAAGGTCAGGCAATCGCCAATGAATGAGCCCAAAGCAGGACGGAACCACGGTCGTAGTGTGATAGTGTTGGGAGGAGTAACACCCAAATATTTCTATTTCAGATACGGTCCCTGCGATCTGAAAGTGCGAGGTTTTACCACAAAGTGAACCAAAGTTGCAACCAACTTTGCATTTCGTAACCCAACCACAGCGATATTCTACATTCAACTTTGAATTCCTTTCCGCGGTGCTAAGCGCTGTTCGTGTATCTCAGTAGCGTAGCTTTCAAAGCGTCAGCCATTAACTACAAGGCTCTGAGTTCCACCCAATGTCAGGCTATCGCCATACGATGAGTCCAAACCAGGAGGGAACCGCGGTCATAGTTTGCGAGTGTTGGGAGGAGCAACTCCCAAATCTGTTCACTTCGGATCCGGTTCCTCCTCCTCATCATCATTATACACGTTAACTAGAGGTGGAAAACACCTCAGCTACTGTGCACCAATGTAAAGAAGCAAAAAGGAGGAAAATATTCAACAGGTACAAGTCAGCTGAGCTACCGGTAACGGATGGACATCGTTCTGGTAAGCTACCAGCCGGCTAATATGCAGAAGGAAATTAATTATTATGCGAAGTTATACAAGTTTTAATAGTACGATTGTAGTTGGACGGGGTGGCTAAAAAGGTTGGCGTGGGACAGACACTCACAACACGGACGCCATTTCAGTCATATGAACAAGTGTATCCAAGCAAACGTGTTCAGCGTCTTTCGGACCCCAACCAGGGAGCCGAGACGCTCCAAACGAGGCCAGCTTCCAAGTGAAGGCCTTCATTCCCCTCGACCAACTCATCGCTTGACCACCCCTCCTCTTCTTCAATCTACATCACCGGCGCGCAAACAAAACACTTCGCAGGAGCCGGTGGACGGGCATGAGTAACACTTGGCAGAGCCATCGGAGCCTGGTGCGTGAAATGACGGTGCCGAGTGGTTCATTTCCTTTTCCTGTGCAGTAAACAAGGCGTCGAACACGCTCGTTGCTTACTCGGTGTTCCCAACAGATTTAACCTGAATTGTGAGGGCACCGGTAGTCGAACGTAACTAGCCTCTTTAGGTCCCCTGATCTAAGGGGCCACGTTCCACAACCGTACAGTAAGGTCAAAGGTACGACTGCATTGTACCCTCTACCCTTCATCGCTAGAGTGATGTCGCGCCGACACCATAAGTGGCAAAGGTTAGCAAAAGCGCCTCGAGCTTTTGCTATAAGGTTAGTTATCTCATCTTCTATCCCATGGGCGCAGATACAACTTCCCAGGTAGTTGAATTTTTGAACTATTTTTAGCTGATCCCCACCAACGGTCAGCGTAGGAAGCGATCTAGGCCAATGTCAGAGGAACGCTTTGCACTTCGAGGGTGCGAATCAAAGCACGAAGTGACGGACAGCCAGTGCTAATCTGTCCAGTGCTGCTTGGCACGTCTCGGAGCTGTCACAGATTAGGGCAATATCGTCAGCATATTTTAAGTAATTAAGTCGTTCTTCTGGGGGCAGATTCACAC